AAGTAGCAAACATTAGTAACAAATAAATAAATCATAGACCCCTAAACTAAATCCAACATTAAAACCAATTCAGTCCACGTGGTGTCCAGAATACCATAATTCCAAATCGAAATTTGGATCGTATAGATCAGGCAGATTCAGTTTTAGATGGAGAATATGACTTTCCTGATACAGCAGGTGAAGGCGTAAATGTTTTTATAGTGGACACGTAAGTAGTTCAAAATGATAACTGCTATTTAGTATTCATTAAATGTTAGAATAAATGATTTAATGATGTTTCTGAATTATAGTGGTATATTTAAAAATCATTCAGAATTTAAAGGACGTGCTAAATCTGGAGGCTTCTTTTGCGACGGTTGTGCTAGTGATAATGACGACAATGGACATGGAACTAATGTTGCTGGAATTGTAGCCGGTAAAAATTTTGGTGTCGCAAAGAAATCTACGGTTATTTCTGTAAAAGTTCTCGATGCTGGCGGTTTTGGTACCATTTCGGGTGTTATAGATGGATTATTGTTCGTTCTAGGAGCTCATATAAAATCAACAAACAAAAATTCTGTAGTCAAGTACGTATTAGTTATGATATAAATTATGATATAAATTATTTGAAAAATTTAATCGTTAATTTAAAAAATTTTTTTAGCATGTCTCTTGGGGGCCCGAAATCAGATGCATTGAATGAAGCAGTAAAAGCGCTCACAGGTGCAGGTATTCATGTAGCTGTGGCAGCAGGAAATGACGCTCTAGATGCGTGTAAATCATCACCATCATCCGAACCAAGTGCAATAACTGTCGGTGCAATACAAGTTGACCCGAACGATAAAAAAAAGAATAAAATCGCATTTTTCTCTAACTTTGGAAAATGTGTTGATATTTTTGCTCCAGGTCTCGGAGTTGTGTCAGCAGGTATTTTTACTGATTTTGATATTAGTGCATTGTCGGGAACCTCTCAAGCAACACCCCATGTTGCTGGTACAATTGCTCTTATTATTGCTAAAAGCGGTAATCAAAGTCCAGCAAAAATGGCCACTACATTGAAAGATTTGTCGACTAAAAATGTAATAGATTTTGGTGGTAACAAAGCTATTGAAAAATCTACTCCAAATAATTTGTTGCGCGTACCTGCACCAAAATAATTGAAGTGTTATTATATATTCTTGTATCTCTTGTAGTGAATATATTAAATTAATAAAGTTTCTTAAAGTATATGAATGAATACATTTAATTCATTACTTCTAATATATTCGTATTAATATTTACAAAATTTGCCACTTTCTGCTTTTATTATTATTTTTTTTTAAGAGTGAGGTCTGCCCTTGGTCTTTATTGAATAATTATGCGTTACATTATAGGAAATGAATTACAGAATTACAGTCAGACCTCTCTAAGTGCACCCTCTATAAGTGCACACCCTCTTAAACGCACGTTTAGATTTTGGCCCAAATATATACTTAACCTCTATAATTGCACTTTTTCTTATTATTCTCTAAATGCACGTTGTTAAAGTGTGGTCCCAAGGGCGTGCGCTTAGAGAGGTCTGACTGTATTACAGGGACCTACAGCTAAAGTTAGTTTATCAGCGGCCCAAAGCTCTACTAGAGTGAGCTACCTAGTCTCCACTAGATTTAGTGCTGCTATGTAATATTAGATATGATAGTTGTAGAGAATATGTTGGACCATTTATTGTATTTGGCTATACTAATGTATACTAATGTCATTAGTAGGGATGGGGTGGTGGTGGGATCGTGATGCTGTTTGCTAGTTGTCTATTTTGGTGGACGGTTTGAAGGGTTGTTTTACCACTTTTTTTTGCTTATTTTTCTTTTTTTTTATTTCCATTTTCAGTTTTTCGTCCGTTTTATAGTTCTTTTTTTTAGTAACGATCTAGTATAAGATATATAGTTCGTTAGTAATCTGATAGAACCTCCAAAAATAGCCATCATTACCTTAAGTAGTATTGTTTGTTGTAAAAGTGTGAGTTGCGTCGGAAAAGTCACTGGGCCGAAAATAGAACAACTCACTATAACACTAATATACATAAACTATCCAAACTAGAACACTATAACTATAATAACCAAATCCCAGTAATGGTAAGGCAACGATTGAGGCGTGGAAAGACTTGGTCCGAGTAACCAGGGTTATTTTGGGTTTACAGCGATAGTGTCGGGTTCAGATGAGTATTTTCTTCTTTAGTTTGGTGATTTAGTCGCTTCTGTTGTCTCCTTACTAACACTTTACTTTCTTTGACGCTTTCGTTAATTAGAATTTTCTCTTTTCGAAGATGCTGCGGCTGGGGTCCCGTGATCGAAGATAGCCAATCGGAAATGTGGTACAAGATCACGGTATCACAGGGTTACGGATCAGGGACAATGACGTTGATCACCAACCAAATCAGGGCAATTTTAATATATAAAGACTTGTATTACTAATACAATGTCTCTTTCTTACTATATGATTAACGATAGTCACGGGGACAAAAATACTAATACGACGAACAATTTGTAACAAGAGGGTATATCGGGGTCAAAGACAAACATTTCTACTCTGAATTTCGAAGGTTTTCTTGGAACTTATTTAGACTGAACTCGGAAGTTATTTTATTCAAGCTACGTTTCGGACTCTTTATATACATGTTTTGTTATTATCAAATGCTTTCTGACATTTCTACTCTATCTACCATATAGGGTCGATATGGTATATCTGGTCGATATACCATATCTACAAGATCTGGCATATATGGCATATATGGCATATCTGGTCTATATGGCATATATGGTATATATGGTAGGTATTACCAAGACCAATTTTGGACGAATCGACCCAAGCCACCTTAGCATCGATTTACACTTTCACAGACTCCCGACCTTATTTTCGAGTTCCACGAGAAAAACCAATCACAAAAAGAAAAAGAAAAAGAAATAGAATGAAAGATATGACAGTATAATCAGAAAAATTTTTTTTTTTTTTTTTCGAGGTTGACTACTTATGGTGTCAAAGCTGCAAAATTCTCATCCATAGGTTCATTAATAGATTCCTCCTCCGCAGATGTCATGGCCTTTAAAGTCAGTGCGATTTGAATCAATTGTTGATAGTTGTGGTGCAATAATGTGGCGATCTTAGACAAATTCATGTAGGAGGTACGGCAAATTTGCTCTACACCGAAGAGTTCAAAAATATTATATACACGAATGGTTGCTGCGTAATAATGTTTTGTCATTTTTGCCCTTTGCAGGGTTCTTTGGGCTGGTGTTAATTGTTCGATTAGTTCACCCAGATAGTACGTGTAGGTCAACCCACCGATGTGATGTCCTGCTCTGGATGATCTTACAAGGGATTGATAAGTGGTCTCCATCTTGGTTTCGACAGCATCTAATGCGTTATAAGGAGTTAGTAACAGCGTAACATTTGTGGGGTGTAAGGTTAATAAGTCGTTGATGAGAAGATTGATGTCAACGGGCATAGTTATAATTATTTTCTAGATAAGTATAGGTCCTTATCTTGGTTTATTTCCTCCTTGTATGAGCGTCTATTTATATATTTCGCTCATAGTAGGGTTTTAATTGTCTTTTATTAACTGTTACTGTTAATATTTTTCCACTTAGTTCCCGTAGTTTATACGTGCCATTTGGTAATTTATTATGTATGTAATAAGGCCCTTTCTATTTAGGCATGAACTTATGGTTTCGCGTTGCCAGTATTCTCGAATTTTCAATGAGAACCTTATCTCCTATTGAGAAGTTGGGGTGGCTTTGATCTGTCGATTATGTTGCTCCTTCTGTTTTTCCTGCGTTTCTAGAAGTTGGTACAATGCTTGTTCACAGGCCTCTTGTAGATCATGGTTGATCTCATACATCCTTTGGATGATCGTTTCATTCAACAACTCTGGAGATTCGCTAGGATGTATAGGTTGCTTAGCTTTTCGCCCATATACCAAGAAAAAGAGTGTTTCGCGAGTAGAGGCTTGTTTTGCGGTTCTATACGCAAATAGTATAGGTTAAATTATTAGGTCCCAGTTGGTTACATTGGTCACTAATCAGGAAATCGCATTACACAGTGTTTTGTTGAAGCGTTTTACAAGCCTATTAGTTTGCAGATAATACAGGGTCGAATAATGGTACTTAATACTTAAAGTTACAAGTAATTCATCAATAAGACAATTTCAAAAATGAGATCTGCGATCAGATAGTATAAAATTTGGGCACCTGTGCCTGCATACTATCTTCTCATAGATGAACTTTACCACTTCTTCTGCTGTTTCTCTAGGGATAGCACGCGCTTCTGGCTATTTCATCATATAATCGGTAGCCACTACAATATATCTATTTGATCTGGTAAAGGGCTGACTATGTCTATTCCTATTCTATGTAACGGAGCCATTACAGGTATTGGGTGTAACAGCTTATTTGATTTACGATTACTTTGCTCTTGACAACTCATACATATTTTAACATATTCTTTAATATCTTTATACATTCGGGGCCAATAATAATAATCGCGTAATTTATTGAACATTATTACGGTCCCAAAATGGGCTCCTATGGGATGATCATAGACCATGGCCATTATAGGTTCAATCTTTCCATCTTGCAGTGCTTTTAGTAAGTTGCCTTGATTTTGGCGATCCTTTTTATATAAAAGGCCTTCTTTAACCATAAAAAATTTGCTCTGT